CCCTACTTCAGTGCTTCCGATGACCTATTGCCCAACCTTGTCGCAACAAACCGGGGTCCGGAACCTCCGACCATATAAAATCTCGAATGGAGCTCGGTCAATACTGGTATGATAACTATTATTGTACGAAAACTCTGCCATTGGAAGGTATGTGTCCCAACTACCTCCAAAATCCAACATGCATGCTCGAAGCATGTCATCCAGTGTTAGGATCATCTTCTCACTCTGGCCATCAGTCTGTTGGTGATAAGTTGTACTAAAATGTAGCTGTGTACCCAGTTCCTCATGGAACTTCATCCAGAACCTAGATGTAAACCGAACATCCCTGTCAGAGACTACTGACACTGGCACCCCATGCCTATCCACTACTTATCGTACATAAATGTCCACCAAAACGATCAGTATCCCCACGGGGAATTGCTCGGATGTATGAACGTTTGGTCTAGCAGCTCCTGAATCTGCATAGATAACTCCTACATCTCGGGTGGTGCCAACCGGTATGGTGCCTTTACTATCGGGGCGGTACCTGATACCAAATCGATGTGAAACTCCACCTGCCTCTCCGGAGGCACTCCTGGTAACTCTTCGGGAAAGACATCCCGAAATTCCTATACTACTGGTACACTGCCCACATCTATCATGGTCTCTACCCTCGTATCTGATTTTGAGTGTTACAGGTTCAGAGCATATTACTCATTTCATGATGTTTCATTCAGTCTAACCATCGAGGATTAATAGATATGCTTATGCCTAAGTGCACAGTCAAAGTTTTCAATGATTTTCATAATCATTAGATGAATCTACTATCTTAGTGAGAGATGATAAAGACCGGCATCTCGTGCCTTCTGACGTTTTCTTTGGCAAGTGTTAGTCGGCTTTTCCATTTCATAAGTTTTCTTTAGATATAAGAACATTAGGTCAAAAATCTGGATAGATGGGATACTTTAGTCTGTAACCTTCGTCCAAGACTATGCTCTCATGTTCATTGCAATTAGGCGTACATATTTAGCTTATAAAGTATCACATCCCATCATCCCTGAGTTTAACCATTTTATTTGGTCTTCACAGAGCTTCACTCGCGAAGCCTTTCTCTCTCATATTCTTGAGTTAAACTTCTCGAATTTTGAGGTGTAGGTTATGAATGGATATTCATAGTTAATACTTTAACTCAACGGGATTTGGTACATTCTTTTCGGCTCGAGACATTTGCTACGATGTTAATTTCATTACAATGCTAATGAATCTCATGCACCATGATTACAATAAATCCTTATTCATGTCATTCAACCAAAAGTATAGGCAAAAACTTTGTCTCAATTCATCTATGTGTACCTCAATCCCTTATCTACATGTCGTTATATACAAACAATTTTTTTGTTCTTTCAGAAAAGTAGGTTTAGTGCATTACACCATAGTTATTCCAACTTCTGGAATACAATCACTTTCTTCTCTTTCCAATTGGACTTTATTTCCTTTTGGTGTTAACATAGTTGGAAGTTGGGCTACCATAGAGTAGTTCCTGATGGATCACTGGTAGTAGCCAACGTAAACTCTTGTGTTGTTAAAACGCCAACGTTCATTTCTTAGGAAGATGTCTTCACTTAAACTTCCACATTTGATCAAATCCTTCATAATTGATTAAATCCTTAACATTTGATTAAATCCTTCACATATAATTTAATTTTTCATATTTTATCAAATCCTTCACATTTGATTATGTCCTTCACAAGGTTTTGTTGAATAACGGTGAGATGAGAAGTTCAAAACAGTCTCTCGTTCGATTTTTAGGTTAAGAAGGAAAATTTAGGTTATTCTTTGATTTGTCATCATAAATGACCATGGTTTTCTCGTGGGTAGATTTGGTCGTACAAATTTCTTGTAGTACAGATCTAGACACAATGGGGAGGTTATCGGCTCGTACTTATGATAATGTCGAAGCATCCGCTTGGGATTGGCATAAAGTCTATAAGAAAAGATTCATTGTTCATGGTTACTTCATCTACACGTTTTCTTCAAACTACTAATTTCATGACTCATACTACATTTAAGTTTAGGGTTCTTAAGGATTTCTTTTCATATCCTAATAAAAGGTACTTCAACATATGAGTGTTTATTAAGAAATACAACAACTACTACTGATGTTTCCTATATTTCGTTCTTGTTCGGATCACAATTCCTCTTTATTTATTCTCAAGTTGTGGCATAAGCGGAGTCAAAGCTTGTAATTTACTTATGTTAGTTCTACCCAGTAAAGTTGTTGTCCTTAAAGGTGTAGGTGGCCTTCTTTTGGACTTGGATGGTTTAACATAAGTCGTACGGTTAACAGTAGAAAGAAACAAATTGATTAAATATCTAATCTTAATTCGAAAAGATTCACGAATGTACGTATTTTTACAACGTATTCATGAGACATCTAATAGAATCGTTTGTAGAATATCATAGTCGAGAAATTAGCATTCCTAGATAAACTTTGAACATAATCTATGTTTATGATACTTATAGTTTCATGAGTATTTGAGGTAAATAGTTGTCAAGTATTTGTAAGCATTCACTAAAATTTAGAGAGTTCTTAAGCGATTCGAACTGTGATTTTATTTAAATATTATGGATTCCAAGCATTTTAATCAACCAACAACCAAATTCAAGCTTGATTTTGCATCGGTCTAACCATAATTAAACATATCTGATAACTCTATGTCTAGTTATAGTCAGGCCCATGTACAACCAACTTAGCTAAGGTGTTTGTCCTAAAACCTTGCATTGTATTAGAAATAAAGGGTTCGAGTTTATGTATGTATATATGTATAACCTTATACTTGTAGGTTAAGGAATATACCTATCCTAAGAGAGTAAGCCCTACTCTATAGTCGCACTTTCCTAAGGAAGTACTAGTTCACTATAGCCAATAGCTCTAATACTAATCTGACACACCCTCCGCTGCCGCCGGAAACACCGATGTGGGCAACATAAATCAGTAATCAAATTTATTGAACATACATTGAACAATATAAATATAATCATCTATTATAACCGAAATAGAAATTACATTGACAACGACTATTGCTAAATCGCAACAAACGCCTAGCAATCTGACTTTTACAAAGGTATAAAAAATACGGAAAGTCTTCTAAGTGAACACTTCTGACCTGCTAAATAACCTGAGAATACATGCATTTAAAACACGTTAACAAAAATTGTTGGTGAGTTCTATAGGTTTTGACACGTAGTAATTTTATAATCCAAAAGTGTTTTATTAAATTTCTCTGGTTAACCAACTTATATAAATACATATTTTCTTTTTATCAAAAGTATAAAAATAAACGGGTTTTAAAAGTTTATTTGGACTCATTTAAAAATATATCGTTTGCTCCAATCAATATATAACCATTTGTTGAATATATAAGAAAATAAAATTTATAACAAATCTTTACGGTTCTCATGACCAAAAATGTTTTTTATATAAAGATTTTAAATACTCATTTATATAAAAGAAAGTCATATCACTCTGTGTGAAAACATAAAATATCTGAATTTATTCTTGAAACCTTATTTAAACATTCGTATAGTTTATATGTAAAACTCTTAAGTTTCAAATTTATAAACTTTGTAAATTCACGTCGTAGTATTTATTAAGTATTATCTTACTTAATTTGGGAACCGATACTTAACCAGTGGAGCAAACACCTCCCACATAAATATTATGTTTTAGTATAACACAAAAGGTTTATATAAATAACATATTAATTATAAGTTATTAAACTTTAATCAGTCGTCTCGTGATATTAATTAAGTGTTATATAACTTAATTTATGGTATTGTCACTTATCACTTTGATTCACAAGTTATCTTACTACGTACGGTCTCATTCAACAAGCATCACTAGAAAAAAAAACACCGTACAACCTAATATCGATTCTATACGGTGACAAGGAATACCTGAGATCTATAATGAGGTTATAACCGAACTGTGACGAAGGCCTCTGCACCAACACTTGCAAGTTTTAGTGTTGAAAGTCCACACCGATGATTATTTACCGTTGTGGAATTTATCATTTAGGAAACAACAACGCTCGTTTCGACTCGTCAGTTGATGGTTGTAGCTAGCAACCAGTGGCGGGATGTCAACCCATATATGTCTCCAATATTGAACTTATACCTATTGTTCCTCGTTCCATACGATTAACGGTTATGACATAGAAGACTTTCTGCTAAGATGTATGGTCTTAGTATTGTATAAACATAGCTAATGCAGCTTAGCAAATGATCCTAACACATAAAGCTTTTAGAACAAACCTAGCTCATATAGAATGTCCTATGGGTGTGATGGATCCTAACAATTAGACTAGGCATCCTAATCTTAAACTCTCCATTTTAAGTATATATCACACACCTATAATTCTTTAATGTTTTGGATTAATTATTGATTGAACTCTTAGGTGTTGTTTGGTTCGTAGAATGTTGCTGAAGGAATTTGAATTTGGATTGGAAAAGGAATCTATAAGGAATTTGAATCCAATTCCATATGTTGTTTGGTTGGCAGGAAATAGAATTGGAATTAATTCTAGCTTCTGTTTGGTTTACAAGAAATGGAATTTGAATTAATGTAAAGTGTTAGAATTACCCTTTTTGTATGTTTTGCTTAATTTTACCATGTTTTCTAACTTATATGTAAAGATTTATTATAAACATTATAAAAAGAGTAAAATTTCGACGGTGGTGGCAGTAATAGTGGGGGCAGTAGCGATGGTGGCAACGACTGTGGTGGGTGAAGGTGATGGTAGTAGTGACTGTGGTGGTGGCATTGATTGTGGCGGCGAAAGTGGTGGTAATGGTCGTAGTGGCAACAGATGGTGGTAACGACGGTGATGGTAGTGGTGGCAACGGTGATGGTGGGGGGTAGTGGCGGCGATGGTAGTGGTGGGTAGCAGTCATAGCGGTGGTAGTGGTGTTCGATGGTGGTGGCGGTGGTGGCAAGGACGACGGTGGTTGTGGCAACAACAATGGTGGTGGTGGTCGGAGGGGCGGGAACGGTGATGGCGGCGGTGGTGATGGTCAGTGATAGTGGTGGTGGTGGTGGTGGTGGGTTTTCTGATAAGTATTTGGGGTATTTTTGTAATCTGCCATTTTCCTTGATGAGAATGAATGTTTTTCATCTAACTTTGGAAGGAATTCACTTTCCTCCATACGGTGGAAAGTTTATTTCATTTAGGAATCCTTTTACCACCTCTAAATCAAACCAAACGCATGAATTTGAGGGAATTGGAATCATTTTCCCTTGAATTCCATTCCTTTCCTGGTAACCAAACGCACCCTTATGGTATTTGAGGTTCATGAGACTTAATACATTTCCAAGTTGTATTATCTGTCATGACGAAATTTGGACAACATAATGACTATTTTGATAATATTTTCCAAGTGTCAACCAATGTGAAACCAACAATTCCTATAATATTTATAATTTACATGATTAATGCTATACAATATTTCGCAAATAACGACTATTAAGTCATGAAGTCGGTCATGTTATTTATTGCAATAAAAATTCATAACTTAATAAATTGAGTTGTATATTTATAATTAATATAAAAATATATTAATACATTTTCCTTTCATTTTTACACGGCCTTATATGTTAAATGTTAAAATTGAATAATTTCACCTATTAATTATACATTTTGATAATATTAGTCTTTCCATCAATTTATGACAATGTATTTTCATTTTATAATTAAATATATTTTTTGGTCATTTATATATCGTTTCATGCTTCCAGTCGATACTTTAACTTATACATGTGAATTCGTCATTTTCGTGAATTACAATACCAACTTGTGTTATTATATCAATTTACATATAATCTAGTGATTTTTGATATAATTAAGTAATATATTACAACGAGGGGTAATTATGTCATTTATAACATTCTACTATAATTTATGTGATTTATTGAAGATCTATACATTTTCGATTTGTTATTTCATAAGCGTTTGACCAATATCAAAATATGATGTTATTTTAACATATAACTAATGTAAATCATCAAAAATTAATTAGACACGCATATATTCTCTCAAAAATATTAAAAAAAATAAAAGAGTGGCCATAGAAACTAACTTTCATAGCGTGATCTCGATCCCGATGTTTTGGTGAAACTTCTCGTGAATAATTGCCAAGTCACCTTCCTTGGACTTTAAAACAGTTCCAGGTTTGTTTTGGAAATGATTTATCAAACAAAAACAATTTTGGTCTTTTATAATTTATGGAGGGACTGGTTTTTATCAAATATTACAAACGAGAGTTGTTTGGTCATTTTAATACAAAGAGGGGCTAATTTGTTATGTATTTCACAAATATAACAAATATAACGGGAGCAGCTTTTGTTCCCGGCGACGGGAAAAGGGACCTTCGGTCCTTGGTTTCCTCTGGTCGAAAAGGCAAATCACGAACGAAGCAGTGACAGGGAAGGCTCGGTGGTGGAAGACCCGTTGAGAAGAAGAGCACCTCTGGTTCCTTATTGGTTTGTAGAGGGGGAGTAACGAAAGCAGCAAGGGCTACTTAAGCAGCTCCTGCACTTCTTCTGTCTTGGAAGGAAGGTGCGAAGGTGGGGAATCAAAAGGGGGCTTCCAGTCTCCGATTTTTGTTCCGGGGAAACTCCCACTTCGGTCGTTTTGATCTCGCTGGTTGAAAGGTACGTGGACGGGGGCTACTCCGGCAGCTCCCCTGATCTTCTTTCTATTTCTTCTTCTTCTTCTTTTTTTTTGATAGAAATCATTGGAAATTGGATGTTTGGGTTTTCTTTTCACATAAAATTGATATAGAGAAAGGATGTTTGGGTTGTTTCTTGTGTTCACAGGGGTGTTTGTGGGATTGGCACTCGACAGAAGTAGTATGAGGAGGAGGAGTATCATGGTGGCCGGCAGCCTCTTCTTTTGGCCGGTGGTGAACAGGGGGAAGGAAGGAGGGCAACATTGTAGCCATCGAACAAGAGGGGGTGTATTGGTTGCTCCAATCGAAAGGAAAGTGGGTAGAAGAGAGGTTGTCGCCTCCTTGTTTTCACTGGGAATCAACACACCTCGGTGTGTTTCTGAACAGCCAATGTGAAAAAAAAAAAAAAAAAAACAAGAGAGAGAGAGGGGTCGAGAGTTTTTGTGGGAATAAGGTAAGAATGATTAATTTTTGCAATATGTGATCTTCACTCAGATTTTGGAATACTTTTTGATGGATTTGTGGTACTAGGAAAATTTTGAAAGGATTTTGAGAGTACAATACATTCATTGATTCATATGTGTATAAGTGTGATGTATTGATTATGTATTTTTTTGTATAAATAGAATACATTAGTGTGTGTGAGAGTGCAGGGAGTGAATGGTTGATTTAGTCTAATGTACTTGCTTGATTTTCTATTGACCTTGGGCGTGCCCTTCAAATGTGATGTATTGATTGTGTATTTTTTTTGTATAAATAGAATACATTAGTGTGTGTGAGAGTGCAGGGAGTGAAGGGAGTGAATGGTTGATTTAGTCTAATGTACTTGCTTGATTTTCTATTGACCTTGGGTGTGCCCTTCAAATCCTATAAGATTGTATGTATTTTTGGTTGTATTCCCTCTTTATATATATATATATATATATATATATATATATATATATATATATATATATATATATATATATATATATATATATATATATATGGATGAATAAAATCAATGATCATCATCCGATGGTCTATTATATTACAATAGGTTAACATGTACCATATAATTATACAAATTTCAGCAGAATGGTGTTTTGGTGAATTAACTATATTAAAAAATAAATGAAATTTTCAAATTTTAAAGGATTATTAATTTCCTTTTTCTAAATCTGAAATTTTTTAAATTAATTCAAATTTAATTCTATTATAATTTCTAATACTAACTGATTTTGTTATGTCAGAATATCAGAGAGTCAAACATAAATTAGTAAATATGTTTTCGATTTTATTATTGCAGAATATGGTTCATTCAATATAGTTTTTATAATTAACATGCTTAAAGAATTATACACCATATTATCAAGAATAACATTTTCTGAAGAATACTGATTTTATTTTTTAAGAATCACTAATTACATTAATTCGTAAAGAATAAGACTTACATTTATTCTTAAAGATTAAAACTATGATTGGTTGAAATTCATTTTTTAGGTGATTGAAATACATAAATCAATTAAATATAAAAAATATGATATGGTGATGAAATTATTAAACTAACCTAAAGTTGATTCGAGGATATCTTAAGAGAAACAAACATATGAAGCTTCCTAAAGGCTTCAAGAAGATTTATTAGACAAGGCGACCTCTTCAAGTTGATTCGCCAAGCTTACTTCAATCTTCACCAACCGCGACCTAGCGATATCAACAAATTCATGATCGGAGCACTCGCCTAGGGTTTTTTAGTACAGATCATACACGCATGGAATAGAATTGAGTAGCTGCGATGATTATAAATAAGAGATATTATGTCAACATATATTTATTTTGTTTCCTTATTTACAAGTGCAAAAAACCAGAAAATAACCTTTTTGATTTAATTAATTATTTAATTATTTGTCAAATTGTGATTGGTGCATTTAGAAAAACAATAGTTACTAGAAACATTTGAACCTACCTCTCTCTCTCTCTCTATATATATATATATATATATGAGGCTTGTAGATACCATTTCTTGATATACTTAATATATATTCTTGTGTTATGAGTTTGTTTCATAAATATGTGCTATATATACATATAAATCGATACCCATACGTTAAGAAATGTTAAAATTGTTAATTTATTAAATCTTTATCTTTTTATAGCCCTTTTTGATACATACATACATATATATATATATATATATATATATATATATATATATATATAAACATACATTAATGTTTTTTTGTTAACCCCCCCCCCCCCCCTCAACACACACACACACACACACATATATATATATATATATATATATATATATATATATATATATATATATACTCAATGAAAATTTTTATTTTTAACATCACAAATAAATTAAATTTTTGTTGATTTTTGATTCGATCTTCACGATAGATGGTTTGAGCAGTTTCAGATGTTCTAAAAGAAATTATATATAATATATTTAATATACGTTATAAACATAAGTTTACATGCAATTGGTTATTAACACACAGTGGTTCGTGGTGATTTGACCGTCAAACTCTGATTGATTTTTATAAATTGTTACATTAACTCATTAAGTAATTAATCTTTATCTATGTCTAGTACAATATACCATTCCACACCATACTTACTCTTATTAAATACTTAATATTTATCGATGTCTTGTACCACTTTATCATCTTCTAACTCTTTCTTCTATTTGTTGGGTATTAGCAAATACCCTTCTCATCTTACCCACATATTCTTTGTATACATGCATGCTCTGCTACATGTATCTTTTGTATACCATTTACATACTCTTAATATGTGTATGTACACTAATACATGCTCTTACAAATATATTCTTCATCTATCTTCATATCATTACTTGAGGACATTCACTTAGTGCCCTAAGCTACAATATATATATATATATATATATATATATATATATATATATATATATATATATATATATATATATATATATGTTGGGTTTAGAGTGTTGCGTCATATGGGTTTAATGTTGATATTTTGATTACCCGGTTTGGGCCTGTCCAACCGTGGTTTAAGCATTATGGTTAGATTATATAGTATGCATGCATGTATAGCTTTAAGGTAATCGTTCTCATTAATAGCTTTAGCATTGTAACCCTAAACACACCTCTACATTCGAAGTTCTTCATTGAGCTCTTCTGAGGTGTGAGATATTAATCATTCGATATCTTTTGCTCCATCCTTGTGTTCTTTGATTGCTTCATTCATGTTTATCTATTTTGAATCTATCGATCTAATAGCACAATAATCTCATCAATTGGTATCAGAGCAGGAGACTGTGTAATATATACGCATCTCTTTTGTTTGAAGAATCCATTAGGGTTTCCGCTTTTATCAAATATATAGAAGTCGTCTTCTTCTTGGAGACGGTGTATCTGGTGTTCGATAAAACCCTAGTTTCAACTTTACAAGTCTGATTCAAGTAGATTAAAAGAAGAAGTTTTTCATCATGTCTCATGACGATTCTCAAGTCAATCCAATCAACATCTCCAATAGTATAGCATCCACTACGAGGGTCCCCATTCTCTATACTCAAGATTATGAAGTATGGGCGCATCACTTTGAAGACTACGTCGTTGGATCTGAAGACAATGGCTATCTTATCTGGGAAGCAATAACATTGGGTTCGTTTGTTCATTCTGGAACAAACAGAACAATCAAGACTCAAAAAGAATATAACCAACTATTGGTGGACATAGAGAAGATCCCTCAAGACGAAAAAGACAAGGTGCTATGCAACATTAAAGTCATGAGAATGATCATATTCACTTTGCAATATGATACTTTCCGTTTAGTAAGTTCATACACTACAACTAAAGAAATATGGGATAGGTTGAAATAATTACATTCAACCTATGAGGATCTAGAGCACTCAATCCAAACCATATTGCTCTCTGAGTTTTGTGCATTTGAACAAAAACCTGAATAGAAACTAATTCAGACATTCGATCGATTCAACCATCTGCTTAGCAAGATGATGAAGTATGGTATTGAAAGGAAGGTGATTGAACAAAAGGTCACATTCATGAATGGCTTAAGGCCCGAATGGATCGCAGTGGTCTCAACTGTGAAGGCACATGAGCAATTTAAGTCCTACTCGTTGGCGAAACTACTGGGTATGCTTAAATCTCATGAAAGTGTGGTGTCTAAGGAAGCGAAAGTAGTTTTTGGTGTGGGTTCTCTGTCCCTTGTTTCAAAAAGAAAGAGTGTGGAAGACGAAGAAAGAAAGAGTGTGGAAGACGAAGAGGAAGAATCTGAAATGTCAAAGTACGATCTGACAAATGAAGAATATGCACTAATGGTTATGAACCCAAGGAAGTTCGCTCGTAAAAAGTTCCATGTCAACAAGAACCGAAACTAGCAGGGAAGCTATATCTCTGAAAAGACGAAAGAGGAGAGCAAGAACACTACTTAGAAAGACGATGAGAAGAAGGAGAGCAAGCTCGTGGGAGATTCAGGATATGACTGCAACTACTGTCACGGCAAGAACCACTTTGATAAGGATTGCATGCTGAGAAAGATGTCTGAGAAAAAGGATGATGAAGATGACAAAGCTTACCACATGCGAAAGTTGGAGGAGATAAAGAAGAAGAAAGCAACTAACGTTTCTATGAATGCTTTAATTGTGCAGGAACATGTTATTGATGATGAGTTTGGTAGAGTAGAAGTCTTGTATACAGACTCTGAAGATAAAGAGGTATGCAGACCCTCGCATGGAAGAGCTTATGTGGCGAGAGAAGGAATTACTGAGTTGGCTGGGAGATGCTTAATGGTGACAACCGAAAGTAAGCATGAGGAAGCGAAGCTTAAGCAAGACAAATGTTTCACTGCCAAGCCTCTAAGTGAAAAGATCAGCGATTGCGATCAGTTGATCAAGAAGGTACAAAATATCCTAGTATCACTTAAAATAACAGTAACAAACTACGAAAAAGAATTAAATGAATTAAAATTCAAGTTTTCTAACTTAAGTGGCAGTCTTATGCAAACTCGCTTAGCAAATTCTAACCTAACTGACCAACTCAGCAGGGAGTCTTCCAAGAGTGAAGAGAGAAGGATATGGATACAACAGAAGGAGTCAGAGTTAGTTAGGGCTAGGGATGAACTTATTTATGTGCAACGAGACAATTTGAATTTTTTGAAACAAAGAAATATTTTATGTTTGATTGCTAAATGCTTTTATACTAATATCACCCAGTTGCATCTAGATTGTGAGATAGGTAAAAAGATTCATAAGATGATTTTTTCCTTCCTTGAATTTAAGGAGGACAAATTCATCGCTGAATGTGAATCTATAATCTCCTCAAATGAGCTTTCAGTGAACTACAAATATGGACTGGACAAAATTGAGGCTTTTATTGAGTCCAAAGAACATAAATGTATGT